AGTAGTTCTGAACCTGAAACCGGAGACTGCACTACTGAGAAACCGATGGAGACTGTGGCTACTGAGGAACCGAGAGCGAATGTGCTACTGAGAAGTCCGGAACAGCGAAACAGGCGCCTTTTCTGCACTGTATGTGGCTCTATGAGGCCTTAACACAGGCTTAAACACGTTACCATGTTATTAAATTATCATTGCTTTGGTAGTTTTTCGATAGCTAAAATCAAGCAAACTTGAACGATGTAATTTATTCTTTAAATGACCGGTTTTTTGAGCTGTAATAGGCGAAATAAAATTTGTTGCACATTCAAGCATTTCTCGCCAGATAAAGTTTTTTTCCTAAACAATCAATAATGATTAGATAGGGCCAGTCTTAGCAATTTCGAATGCGTATGTTGTTATCGGAAGAAACGCTTTGAAGCCGCTGTAGTAGTCAAAAGAATGTTAGAAAGAAAATATATATATATACATATATATAATACTAGTAACTTATCGTAATTATTCTCTTATCTCTTATAAAACCCGGTCCGCCATGTTTCGAATGTGATCGAAGTAGCATTCCTTCAACATTGAATCAAAGAACTCTTGACATGCTTCTTCAACTTCATCGAAAAATTTAAATAGGCGACCTTCCAAAAAGTACTGCATTGATCGGAAAAGACTTTTACTGATAGGGTATTGTAACTCTCATTACCAAAGGAATGATGACGAAAGTGGGATTCGAACCCACGCCCCCGAAGGGACTGGTGCCTAAACCAGCGCCTTGGACCGCTCGGTCATCTCGCCATGCTATTTAGGTTTTGAATGCGTGTGACGCAGAGCATCTCTGACCTTTGCACCGATGCTACAGTGCTATTGAAAGGCATTGCTAAAAAACGAGCACGTACAGCAGCCAATCGAGATTTAAACCTTCGTCTGATTTCTAAAAATGCAATGAAAAGTCTTTGACCAGCGAAAGGAGTCATTTGCTTACTCTAGACTATGGCGGCTGATTTGAAAAAACCAATCCTTTTTGTTTATACGACCCGTCATCATAAGTCATTATACTGCGAGAATTTCAAGGTTTAGCGAATTTGGATCATCCTCGGCATCCGCGCTCTGTTTTAACCTTTTGGGAAAAAAGCATTCTTCTAATAGTTCCAGAGTTTCACTATTCACCGCATATCTAAAATCTTGACAAATTTGGAGGTGCGCATTATAAAAACGATGTCCTTAATGCGTTGCCATCGCTGCACTTATGTTCCTTAGCAATTCCTGAGCCAAATATGTCGTCGATGTCACGAATTGTCTATGCTGTTTTACGATGCATTTTGAACTCGAATAAGATTATCGTTCAAGTTTGCTTCTGTCTAATAATTTTCCAATAGTATAAAATAAATACAAAATAAGCAGCCTAATATCCTTCCAATAGTATAAGATAAAGACAACATATGCAGCTAGTATTACGTCTCGGCCACAGAACATACGCGAGGAATATACATTGAAATGGTGATTAACGTAATCACTTTCATTGAAGAATATATTCTGATATTAAAAGGAGCATTTCAACAATGTAAACCGTAGTTACCTATGAGTCAACCTTATAGTTTCTGTAGAATGATAAAGGAAAGACTTTTTAGGTATAAGATGTCCTTGATGGACATGATATACCTTTATTTCTAGTGCTTTATTGAGACCACGCTCAAATTTCAATAGATCCGTTCATTATAATTTGAGCCAGTTTGTCATGTGGTCTGGTAAGGGCTCTAGTACAGCCCTATACACATGTTTCGGGCTGTACAAGAGCCTTTACCAGACCACATGACAAGTTGGCTCAAATAATAATGAACGGGCATGATATACATTTGACCTCAAGAAACATCACAAATGGTCTCTAATGCCTATTTGGCCCGCGCAATAACTTGCCAAGTTCTATAGATGCTTCAAGTAAATGCCTTTTTTCCGAGACAAGCCTACCATCAATTTATCAGAACTGGAGGAATGGAGCTTGATTAAGCGTGGATTCACAGCAGCATCCACGTGTATACTCCATGATACCTTACACCAGTGCGTTATAAGTATCCACACGTTGCCTAACGATTGAACTAATATCATACCTTTTGTTTCTAGTGCTTCTTCAGACCACGCTAAAATTTCAGCATGCCTAACAGTTATTTTTGAGCCATGTATGAGGCCTGTTATGGGCACTTATACAATGCAGTACACTTGTTTCGACCTTGCAGCCTCATCATTTGCACAGTGCCTTTCGTCTGAGCCAAACCCTTTAGGGTAGAACCCCTCCCCTTATAACTGACGAAACTGCAAAGCCGAAACACGTGTATTGCACTGCAGAAGTGCCCCATAACGGACCACACGAATTGCTCAAAACTAACCAGTAAGCATATTGAAATTTGGACGTGATCTAAAGAAAGACTGGAAGCGAAAGGTGTGATATATTTTACGATATTAGCCAAAAGCAGTCGACTGTATAACACTGCCTGTTCGGTGATTTTATCACTTATCGACGCGTAAAACGTTGCGAAATGCACCGTGCAACTGACGAGACTGCAAGGCCGAAACACGTGTATTGTAGTGTATGAGCACCCATAACAGACCACATACAGTGTTCAAAAATAACTATTAGGCAGATTGAACTATTTCTCTTGAGCAGGAACTCGTCGACATTAGCTGTTCCATTATTTATAGTGGTCACGAGGGCTAAAAATCCCCCGATTTTCTCATTTCTGCCAATCTGCTTGTGCGTGGCCATTAAAAATCAGTGGTTTCCAGTATGGTTCCTATTTGGAGGTCCTAGTGAAGTAGATTCCCACTTCTAGCCTCTAAATCAACTGATCAGTAAGAAACTGGAGCGGCACTAACATAGCATTTATTCATCCTATTTGTATAGGAAAATTGTTCAATAGTTCTAGGTTGTTCAAATGATACTAAAGTCTTCGCGAGAAGACAGATTGTTATAGTTTACGGTCTCCAACGAGAAATTAATCAGAAGCCTGGTTGTAGGTGATAGATTCTTTCCTAACTAAGCCTTTGGAGAGTAATCGCGTCTCTTTTTCACCTTAGATGGCTCGCCTCATGGAAAGTGATCGCAAATCTTTTGGTCGCATCACAGCGACTTATTAAGCGGTGGGTGATAATAATAAGTTGAAAACTAAAACGAAAGTGCATTTAACGCGGGATGAGGTGGACTTAAGCAATAATCCCGTTGTCTTTTCTCCGTAGAGACGCAATCATATTCACAATTCGTTTGTGAATGTGTTGCACAAAGTTTACGATCCTTTGTAGGTCATTCCAGCCACAAGTGTGTAACAAAATACTATAAAAGCACATTTGCACCTGGTAGACGACAAGGTTCAACGCCACATCTGCTACATGGGATTTTCAAAACGCAATGAATAATTTTTAGTATAATACAGTAGTTACAGGAACAGTAATATAGTTAACAACCAAGAGCATAATTTTAACTAACTGCGACATTCTTTTTGGCTGGAAACAGTGGTGCTAGAGTACTTTGTATTTGTTGAACTCGTTGCCACCAAAGGGTTCGAGGATCAGTATGCGCCAATGGCCACCAGCGCAGAATCTTCGGAGTGGAGGGAAAGGAGGTAGGGCCTGTAAAGTTTTCCACGCTTAAATTATGAGAAATAAGGAAGACAGTGAATATGCAACTAATTTTTTATTGCATTACTCGTTTCCCTTGCTAGTGACATCCACGTCTGAGTTGTCATTATTTCAGTAACATCAACTGTTGAGTTTTTAGTGATTTTGTAAGGTAGTGTTTTAGCAGCCGACACGATTTCAGTAGTGGAGGTTGGAGAAAAAAAGGATTTTCTTGGAGGTATTGCAAGATTTTGAATCTGAAATGGCAACTTTGTTCAAGTAGCTAAGTGAATGGTCAAAAGTAGTGATACTTTCCCTGTTTTCAGACGGCATCGAATAAGTAGAAGCATGGCTCACAGACAACTTCGCAGACAGACCAATATCTTTCTTTGAAAAGAATCTATAATCAACCGAAATTCACAAACAAATATGGAAGGAAAGTTATTCTCAATACAATCTTGGTCAACATGATGTTAGAGTACCTATTGTGAAATCCATATGGTACCAAAATAGGAACGTATGCTCGCCCTATTTCCTCCATTGATTCTGCATTTACGACCAGCAGTAAACCTAAAACACACATTTGAGACGATGTGACAAAATTTATGCCACATATGACTCATACTTAACTACAAATGATCTTCGGTTCATTTCGGTTGTTCAGCAAGGAATGAAAAAAACGATCTCTTAGATGGGCAACAACTTTTATCAGAGTGATAGCAATCATCCAAAAGTTCACCTCTCAAGAAACTGCCCACATGCTTGTTTTTTAACAACGCCTTTTTATAGCGCTGTAGCATTCAGAATGAGATTATGTCTCACACATGCCGCACTCTTTTATTATTACTATGCTTATTGCTCGTTGGACAAAACTCTTTTTAAGACTGCTAGCCGTTGAATAGCTAAGATCTCAGAAGATCCAAAATTTGTTTGCTTCTTGGAAAAGCTTTCCTGAAAGCGCTGTAGCAGAAATAGAACTTTGTGTTTCATGAATTGGTGTTTTTCGCAGAGAAGAATTTTTTTTTGTGAATTATACGTAACCTCTTGATAGCGAAATTTCAGCAATTCCAACGATATGCTTATTATTTTGAGAGACTCTTTCAATTCAGTGTACGAGAGAAAATAAGTTTGAGTTTCATATACGTCGTGGATCTGCCTGTCGGCTAGAGTGAGTGCGTGACCGTGGGTCGATGCACGTTAAATCGATGGCGCAAGCAAAACCCACATGTGTAGTACTATTTTTGTTATGAGATCAGAATTTTTCCACCCTCTGACATAAGATGTAAATAAAATGTATGACGCTGATACTGTGTGATTTCCTCTTCACGTTCATAGATTGCTTCTCGTGCTTTCGGTCAAATATAGCTAAGATATACTCTAGAGAAATGAGTGGTGAGCAAAAATACAGCCTCAGACGGGAGTCGAACCCGCGTTTCATCCTTACCGGGGGCGCATGCTACCACTACACTACCCAGGTTCATCCGCCCCAACACTCATTCTTCAATATCTAAATGATAGCTTTCAGCCATCAACCTTTAACAGATTTAGTCGGGTATGCGATTTCGCTTTATGAATTCAGTTGTGCTGCAAGCCATGTGATAGGTAATACTCGCAATTTCTAGTAGTTCTACTGCCTTTTTTCGCGGTGTCATGATGAATCATGTACACTCCAGAGAATTTAGTGATGAGCAAAAACACGACCTCAGACGGGAGTCGAAACCTGCGTTTCATACATACCGGGGGCGTGTTCTACCACCACACCACCGGAGTACATTCGCCCCACCACTCATTCTTCAATATCTCCGTGATAGCAGTCGGCCGCCAACCCCATTTACGACACATCTTAACACTGCAAAAAAGCAGTAAATATACTAGAAGTTTCGAGTATAGCCCGCGATAATAATAAAAGCGCGCTGCGTTTGTGAAATACAATCTTGCTTTGAACGCTACAGCGCTATAAAAAGACATCTCCGGAAAGTGAGAACATACAACACTTTTCTAAGATCCAAGTTTTCGAATGGTTGCTAAAAGTACAACGGTAATTGTTTATCCAGCGGGAGGATTCGTTTCTTCAATCCCTGGTGGATAACCGAAATGATCCATTTCTTCTAATTCTATCAAGTAAGCAATATTTTGATAGAAGTAAATTCATGAGAGTACGTATGTTTCCGCGAATAAAATGTAAGTTTTATGATCAGATCTAGATGACCAGACAGACTGCTAGAGTCTATTGAGCAGATCAGATTTCATTCAGCAACTCCAGATGATTTCACCTAATGAGCTGAAGACGTTTTCAACTGTCGCACTTGCCGGCAAAGATTGTTCTGCTGTGAAGGTATTTCTTAACATAAGTCCCGCATTTAAGATATAAAAAGTTTATGTATCAAATTCGGAGGCTAACACGGGATTGACAAAAGTTTACCCTTCTTGCTTAATAACTTAAGAGGGAAGATGTCAAGAGGCATGGGGCATTGAACCCCAGACCACTACATGCGCAGCTAGTACTCTACCCCTAAGCCACACCACACATTTACCAGTTGTGCATAAAACATATTGTATAGTGCGTTAAAGTGCGCCGTTGTTTCATATGCCCACTTGTTCACTCAGTCACATAATCGCATGCTTTGAAATCAGTGAAGACGAAGCAAAATCCGCTTTCACCCACACACTTTACAGCAAGTATGAAATTTTTAGTGAACTGTTTCGCGACTTCTATTGCAAATAATGCAAAGATAGATACTTTCACAGAGAAACTCATGAATACGGAAAAAGTAGATTGGTAACTACTCCGTAAGTCCATAGCGCCTTATGTTTCCAAGTTTACGAGTTAAATGAATTGTTTAAAGTTGTTCTAAAGTCGACGGAATTAAAAATTTGTTAAACTGGAAGCCTCAACTTTTTTCAAAGGAAATTAACGTAATCCACTAAACTTCTATAAAAACGTCGATAACCTTTTTCCTCCTTGACATCAAGTGCTCGAACGAGCAAAATTCCGTCATCTTCCTTGCGTGAATTGGGTGATGCGATAAACCAGGGCTCGTGAACTACTAAGTTCGATTGTGTTTTGAACTCTTGATTACGTCTGCCGGCAGATACATTAACATTAATCTGAATTTTTCAATATCATAGCATTAAATTTGCACGAGAAAAAGAATATCAAATACTACCAACTTTAAGAATTCCATTTCCGGCAGCGAAAGGGTGTTTTACGACGTACGCCCATTGATAAGGTTTCTGTTCCATTTTGTGGTTGAACTGAGGGAATTCTGCAGCAATTGTCTCCTTAATTTTTATTGATATTGCCTATTTTGGTCCTCTTCTCATACCTGCTATTGAAGGAATTACTTTTGAACACACCTGTGGTAAAATATAATTATATTTTGCTCGCAACTTTTCCGTATCAATTGTAAATCGGAGAATCCTTGCAGTGCTTGGATAAAGTTGTTTAGTAAGGAAGTCAGTGTAGAAATACTTGGTATAAGAATGATGAGAATCGTACACAACCTGAGTATTTTATTTTACTATGATGCAGAGTGGTTTCATTTTTTTTATTACGAATATGCACCATGTCAGCAATGATCATCCCATCTGGTGTGTTATAAGCATTCAGTTGATGCGTAACAAACATAGAAGGAAATACTTCCAACGGTTGTTTCGTAGAAAATTCTCGAGTCTTCTTGTTGAAAACTAAGATCCTAAAATTGCCATTTGTTATGTAGCAATTTATCCAGGGGTTTCATTCAACTTCCGTGTAATAAAAAGGCTTTCACCTCAATGGCATCATGTCGTAAAAATCCATTCCCCACAAACCACCTTTTTGAGTCGAGTTTGTGGAGTCAGAGTGCGGACGTTCTTTGAACTTGCACGGATTGATGAGCAGCGAGGTAATGGGAACCACAACGTGTGTTTCTGTAGAGGTAATGGAGTGAATATATCCGGGTAATACCGCTTTGTTACCTGAAACATGTAAAATGGAGCCTAGAGGGATTTGCACGAATAATGAGCCATATTATTGTAATACAGATTTAGTCGTTGCCTTGATTCTGTTACTTGAAGTGCTCAACTAACACTTAACACTCATAACACATATGGAACGAGGCTGATTCTTCGAAAAAGGAAGGTAGTTTCTTGCAACTAAAAATCTTTTAGCGCTTAAAACTTATTAAACCTCAAGCATAATTTTTCTGAAATCTTATTCCTAGATTAAATTTGCCAAAATTCGGACTTATAAGAAAAAAATTGAGGCAAACTCTATATTCTTTTTGAAGCAAACATTTAAGACGCGCACGCAACCAGTGGCATCCTCAATACATTCCAAGAAATCTAATCGTCCTGAATTATGTTCCTCCTGTTCAGTATCCTTAAAATAAGCAAAAATCACTCCTTATGACTTCAAGAAATCAAGTTTACCACTGTATTATCTTAAAAACTGCGTCTTGATAACAAAAAAAATTCATATTCTAGTGAATTTCGCCGGAGCTATTCTAAATCGTTTCGGGCCGTCACATATTTTCCAAGCTGAGGAGGTCACTGCTTTTGCCAATTACTGATAGAAGTCAATGAATGCAATTTGCATTCCGCCTGAAGCCCTTTTTTTGTAAATTGACTGATTCATCGATCACTAGAGTATTGAAAGAGTTAGAAACTGCACACATATATGTCTTCTACGTCTATTGAACGTCCTATGTTCGAAAACAAATGGTGTGATTCGTGTTATCAGAGAACCATCCGGTGTTATTTGTTTACCTTCACATCATTAAATTAATTAAACGTCGTCTCTTGTTCACTTGCAGTGGAAAATGGCGACTCTTCTAAGCAAAATGAGCTTTTGATAGAATTTTACCATCTACGTTTTTGTCACAATCAAGCATAACAATGTGGCGGTAAATAGATTTGACAAAACATTGTCGCCATTTTTATGATAAGGACGGCACATGATTGATGAAAGAGGTTTTTTTCAGTAGCACTTTTGCCAGATCAGTCAACAGGAATCAATATAAACACCAGGACGGGTTCTTGCTAATTTTATTCACACATACTCGCTCTTGCTAGTCTGCAGTTGAGATATTTCCAAAAAATTTGCAGAAAAGCTTCCCTTTGCAGTCTTTTTCTTCTCGACGAAATACTAAGTTGAGGAAAAAGTTCCTTAACACCCGCGAACAACTCAAATTTTAAGTTTGTTCCACACAGTATCCGTTATTGTAAATTCATGGGAATACCTCAGGAATACTTCTATAGGAAATTCAAACGGCAACGCTAATTATACGCCAGTTATACCCGACACTGATTCGTAGAAATTGCGCGCTGTTTCAACAAGACAACTCCAAACCTCACAGCGCAAAGAAGACTAAGTAAAAGTTTGATGAACTGGAGAGAGTCGAGGTCTTGCCGCACCCAGCCTACAGTCCAGATATTGCGCCGTCCGATTTTGTCCTTTCTGCACAATGGAACGTTTTCTACGTGGATGCCGATTTGAGCTATTTGATCAAGTTGAAGAGGCATGTCAGAAGTTTCTAGATTCAAAGCCCAAGGAATGGCGATTTCGAGCAAATGCGAAAGCTTACAGATCCTTGGCAAGCGTTCGTGAATAATAATGGTCTTTATTTTGAAAAATAATAATCGTTGCTTTTCATTGAATCTATGTATAAACTTCGAAACCTTTTCCTCAACCTAGTAGAATAAATCTTATACGCTTTCATTATGTTAACGACTGATAGATGGCTGTATTACTTTTCCTCTGAGTAGTGGTCGATGAAAAAGAGCGACACAGGTTTAAGTGAGGTGTTTGAGTCGAAGTGATGGGCAATAGATGATGAACGACAAAGCTCAAACGTTTCACATCTCGTTACCTAAACGTTGCGCTACAAATGAAGGAGCCCATTATTTGGTTGGCATGCTCCACCTAGTTGCCTTTGGCTCTTGCAGGGCGATAACATCAAATTTGATGTGACCAGTGGCCTCGAGAAAAAATGAATATCGATGCTTGTAGTGATGGATCAGGCGTATAAAGAGTACACCAAAAGGAGGTATTCGGAGATTTCAAGTGATAGCGCTGTTTTGATTCAGGTTTGGATGACCTATATGATCCGAGGTAACCTACCTAGGTTTACTCAAGAGTACGTTCCACTTGTAATAAGGCGTGATCAATAATGATGTAGCCTTTGAAGTCTAGTGTGGTGACAATTCATACGAAAATTCTCTCCATTTTGCATATTTTCGCGCAACATCAATGTTGCACCATTCTTTCTCTCGGTCTGTATAAATGTTTAGGATGCCCTTTCGTTCGAGCGTTATCAAGTCCCACCTCGTTCAGTTTGCTCTTGTGATTATTTCGGAAAAGCACAATATTTGTCTATCTGATGAGCGTGCTCTACTTAGAACCGTAAGGAATGACATTGATCAAGTATTGGTGCTTTACAAATATTTTCACCTTCTCTAACTTTTTATCAAGATACCCACAAAAAATTCAAGAACCCG